AGCCGTTATCCATGATCAATTATCCGTTATCCACGATCAATTATCAATTATTAATTATCAATTATTAGCTATTGATTATTAATTATTGATTAGAAATTAGAAATTATTAATTCGTTATCAAGTATTAATTATCATTTCTCACTCTCAATTACTTATCAATTAGCCGTTATCCATGATCGATTATCCGTTATCCATGATCAGTTATCAATTATTAATTATCAATTATTAACGATTGATTATTGATTATCGATTAGAAATTAGAAATTATTAATTCGCTGTCAGTTATTAATTATCAATCACCACTCTCAATCAATTATCAATTAGCCATTATCCATGATCAATTATCCATTATCCATGATCAATTATCAATTATTAATTAGCGATTATTAATTATCCATTATTAAATAGAAAATAGAAATTATTAATTTTTTATCAAGTATTAATAATCAATTCTCACTCTCAATTAATTATCAATTATCTATTATCCATGATCAATTATCAATTATCCGTTATCCATGATCAATTTTCAATTATGAATTATCGATTATTAATTATCGATTATTAATTATAAAATATCAATTCATTATAAGTTATTAATTATCAATCACCACTCTCAAATAATTATCAATTATCCATTATCCATAATCAATTATCAATTATCCGTTACCCATGATCAATTATCAATTATTAATTATCAATTATTAGTTATCGATTATTAATTATCAATTAGAAATTAGAAATTATTAATTCATTGTCAGTTATTAATTATCAATTCTCACTCTCAATCAATTATCAATTAGCCCTTATCCATGATCGATTATCCATTAACCATGATCAATTATCAATTATTAATTATCGATTATTAGTTATAGATTATTGATTATTGATTAGAAATTAGAAATTATTAATTCGTTGTCAGTTATTAATTATCAATTCTCACTCTCAATCAACTATCAATTAGTCGTTATCCCTGATCGATTATCCATTATCCACGATCAATTATCAATTATTAATTATCGATTATTAATTATCCATTATTAAATAGAAAATAGAAATTATTAATTTTTTATCAGTTATTAATTATCAATTCTCACTCTCAATTAATTATCAATTATCTATTATCCATGATCAATTATCAATTATCCGTTATCCACTATCAATTATCAATTATTAACTATCAATTATTAGTTATCTATTATTGATTATTGATTAGAAATTAGAAATTATTAATTCTTTGTCAGTTATTAATTATCAATTCTCACTCGCAATCAATTATCAATTAGCCGTTATCACTTATCAATTATTAATTATCAATTATTAATTATTAATAAATAATAAAAATATATTAAATTAAAAATAAAAATTAAATTAAAAATCCATAAAAATTAAATAAAAATCCCTAAAAAATTAAATTAAAAATCCCTAAAAAATTAAATTAAAAATTCCTAAAAAATCAAATTAAAAATCCATAAAAAATGAATAAAAATCACTAAAAAATTAAATTAAAAATCCCTAAAAATTAAATTAAAAATCCCTAAAAATTAAATTAAAAATCCATAAAAATAAAATGAAAAATCCATAAAAATTAAATAAAAATCCCTAAAAAATCAAATTAAAAATCTATAAAAAATTAAATTAAAAACCATAAAAATTAAATAAAAATCCCTAAAAAATCAAATTAAAAATCTATAAAAAATTAAATTAAAAACCATAAAAATTAAATAAAAATCCCTAAAAAATCAAATTAAAAATACATA